TATAAGTAAAAAGGGATAAAAAAAAAAAAAACTTCTAATATATTCAACATATGTCTATCTCAAAAAAAATTGTTGAACAAAGTAATCCTGACCAAAATATTTCTCAAAATAGTATATATCATGCTGGTTAGATTTTATGAAATTCAAGAACAAGATAAACATGGTAAGAGAAATCAGAAAAGTGTTTGCTTGCTTTGGGATGTAGAAGAATCGTACAACTCTTCAAATGTTGCTCAGAAATGAGCACATGGGAAATTTCTTTGATAATGAAAATATTCTTTATGTTGTTTTGAGTGATGGTTTACTCAGTGGCAAAGCTCATTAAGCAGAACACCTTAGTTCTGTACATTTCACTGTACGTTCATTATATCTAAAAATGCTTTAAAAGATTTTGGCAGCACTGGGGTAAGGGTTAAGAATTCCGACTTTGACAACAAATGGAACAGGCTTTTAGTACGAATTCTGCTATGTATTGTCAGATCTTAGACAAGCTAATTAACCTCTGTACCTCAAATTTTTGATGTGGAAAATGACACCAAACACTTATGTGTCTTGTGAGGCATCAGTGAATAGTGTATATAACATCTGAGGATGGTATTTTAGCAAATAATAGGTATTCAATCAATAGTAATTATACTATTTTAATGAAGCACTTACAATTCTTTATTCGAATACCTTGTATGCCTGATATCTCTTATACTTTTTTAATTTTCCTGCTCACGCTATCTATTTGGAGAATACTCATGAATCTTTCACAGCTTTTATTCTTTTCATTGCTACAATCAGCATCACAGCCCTTCATACCCTATGTTCCAAGCAGAAGCGAGGAATCAGTTATTTGCATCATCTGTGACCAACAGGAGTTTTAAACAATGCAATGATAACACCTTACTGCATTCAAAATGCCACATTAATATCCCTATGTGGCTAACAATAGATTAGATTAATGTACCTTTGTGACTGACAATAGATTAGATTAGTGTCCCCGTGTGACTGACAATAGATGCAGACAGGACTTGCATCAGATTACTCTCGCAATCTTATATATAGCACAATGCTGGGCATATGGTGAATGCTTAATAAAAGGCATTTCATAAATAAGTGATTTTAGGGTTTTTGAAAATCATAACTGATTTTATTACTTTCTGATGAATATTTACACCAAGTGTAACAACTATACAGAAATGAAAGCTAGGCAGTTTGGGTGCTAATCTTATCTTTCAACTTGACAGCTCCTTTCTGACCACTCAGAGTGGTCAGAATGAGCAAAGCAAGGTTCAGATCTGCCCCTGGTCAATAATTTTCCTATTCCTCTTACTTTATTCCAATTTTTCCCCAAATTTTTCTAATTTTTTTATACTTCTGATAAGGATGTAAGTCATTAATAGTCCTTTCTGGTTTCAGAAGGTTTAGTTTTTGTTTGGGGTGTGTGTATGTTATTTTTGCTTGTGTTTTCCTTTGTTTTGGTTTTTAACAGATGGGTATTTTGCTGTGGCGGCCAGGCTGGTCTCAAACTCCTAGAGTCAAGGGATCCTCTAACCTCAGTCTCTTAAAAATCTGGTCCTTTCTAATTAGAGAACAGAGAGACGACAACATCCCACGTATGTTTTGTATTTATATCCCTTTTGTTTTCTACTCAGCTTGAAAATTAAGGAAAGGGAATTTTGACAATACTTGGCTCAAAAATGTTGAGGAAAAATAGACGCATGTAGGAATAATAAGGGCTTCAGAAAGCTACAAGATTTCACATGGCAAGATTTGAGGAGATCTATTGAAGGCTTGTTGTCTAAATGTCCCACTAGACCCCAAGCAGCATTTATTGTGTTTGGCTGCTTCCAAGGTGGTCAGCTTTCAAAAAGGACTGTGTGTCCCTTGGTTCCTTGGGTATATTTGGTGGCGGGGATAAGTAAATTTTAAGTATCTAGGGTAAGCCCCTGAAGCAGCCTGAATTCGTGAGCACTGATTGTCTAAAACAGGCAGATGCATTTTCCAGGGAGGATAGACTTCATTTACCCACCTTTACTAGTTCTTCCAGAGTCACTGAAAACCTAATCTCCATTTTTTTTCCCGGCTAATTCAAGAATATTACCAAGGAGAGGCAAAGGTGCTGATGTATAAGTTGTTTATCTTCCATTTCTAATTACACCTACACATTTTATTTTCTCCTGCATAGTTCATAATCCTTTCTTTCTGGCTTCAGTGGTGCCTGTTGGCATACACCATGGCTCTTTTCATGAAGAGGATTTGGTGGGAGTTGCAATTGTGTGTTAGTGCTATTCAGTGATTTCCAACATAGGCGAAAACAATCAGGTCCTACTGGTAGCCATTTACTGCGTGGGATGAGACACAGCATGCTGGACTGAAGGGTAAGCCTGTCATATTTATGAAAAACAAAAAGAAATGGTTGGTAGAAGAACTTAATCTTTATGAAATTTGTACATTTGAATTAGAGGGGGGGAAGTATGCTTTAGTGGGGGTAGAAATGTCTTAAACTGAAAAAATCAACAACTTTCCCAAAGCCATATAGTCACTAACACTCATGTGGCAGAGTTGACAATAGGTGATCATGAGGTTGTTCCTTTAGACTTGGTCCCTCTCAACATCTCTAAATCCCTGCGACACTCAGAAATGCCATGTGAATCTGAGGCTGGGCTACTAACCATCAAACATGGGGATCTCCATTCTGCAGAAGCAGTTTTCTGTGTGCCGGGCCATGTGCCCAGCATGGAAGACCCCTATAAAAGTCTGAGACCACAAGTCATGGTGTACCTTATTTGTACAGTGATATTGTGATCTAATGACTGAGACAGCTACTCAGTGACTCTGAGTAAGTGGGTAGTGCATTCAGCATGGAGACTCTGGATGAAAGGATGACTCATGTCCCAGGGGAGATGAAAGCACAGATCTCATCATGCTTTTTTACACTTTAAAACTTATAGATTGTTTGTTTCTGGAATTTTCCACATAATAGTTCAGACTGCAGTTGAACGGGAGTAACTGTAGTCACAGAATATGAAACTACAGTTAAGAGAAGAATACTGAATACCTCCTTCTCATTAGTGAATTTGTGGCTATCTGGATTATCAGACCCATTGTTGTTGTCACAGTGCTTATGTTCAAGTAATTCTTGTATTACTCAATAATGGCCCCAAAGAGTGGGAAGAGTGATGCTAGCAATTTAGATATGCTAAACAGAAGCCATAAGGCACTTCTTTTAAAGAAAAAAGGGTGAAAGATCCAGAAATAAGGAAAGAGGAAAAAAAATAGATGCTGAAGTTGCTAAAACTTACTGTAAGAACAAATCTATCCATGCAATTTTGAAGAAGAAAAAGAAACTTACATAATACAGGGTTTGGTACTATCCTCATTTTTAGGCTTCCTTGGAGGATGAAGGAACATATCCCTTGTAGATGAGGAGGAACTCTTAGGCACCTTGAAAAAGCCAATTGCCTTTGAAAATAAGTTTCCTGGGGGAATAACAATATTCCTTCAATGCCCATAAAATCACTGAAACGAAACTCCCTAGTTCTTCTTTCACTATTTAAGGTGTAATATGTCACTGCAAATGTGTACATGCTTTTCTTTGGAGCCATAAATTACCATATTTTAGGCACCCTGGCTAAGGGTATTTGAGGAAGAGTGGGGTAGATCCTTCATCGTCCTCGTCTGCCCCCTGGTGGCATTTCGAGACTATGAATTCCTACCCTAGACTAGAAAGAGCCTCTTCTTAGTCTACACTGAACATCCCTGATATTTAGTACTTTGCCTAATTCCAGAAACGGTCCAACTAAACAGAGATTCTCATGTTCAGCATAAAGTTGTATAGTATTCCAAATAATGTTGATGCTTTAGCTGTTATTACATCAATCGTTTCGTTTTTAAACTGATTTCTATTTCCATGAGTAGTTGTGTCATGTTATTTTTCATCTACTTTTTCTATATATCCATTTGGGATCTAGCTATTCATTCATGCTATCACTACCTAGAGCGTCCTTTTTGGTTTTTGTTTTTAAAATTTCTTTTCTTCTCTGCAACTTAGAAACAACTCTGAGAAACCCGCTCGAGTCCTCTCATCTGAGTCCCTCCACAGGCAGTTTTCCTCGTACTAAAAACTGCTGCCTTCCCTCAATTTCTGGCATATCTGAATCTCCATGATGTATTTTCTTTACTTTATGCTCCTTGCAATTCCTTTTCTCTGCCTCTCCCTAATGCACAGTATGCCTGTATTCAAGTCAGACATCAGAGTTTCACTCCAAATCCTCTCTTTCTGCAGCCACCTGCACTGTCAGGACATCGCTCCTGGCAGGGCCACAGCCCTGCAGTCATCCCGCGTCTCAGTCCACACTCCTCGGCTTCTCTACCCAGGAGACTTCCGTTGTGTCCTGAAGAAAGTAAACTGTCCCAGGAACTTCCCACTTTTCCAAGACAGTGATTTATGCGCCTACCCCATTTCTCCAACTCACATATTAAATTATGATACAGGTAGCTGTTGCCTATAGCTCCTGAGTCTGTCTGACGTAAATGCGCTTTCTCCATTCCCCGCCTCACATCTGAGCTCAGACCACGCCATCTCCCCCCCTCTTGGATACCTTCCATGTTTCCAGTGGTCTATTCCTATTACATACTGCAGTAAAGTGATTTTCCTAAAATATGGATCTGTTTCTGTCACTCCCCTGTGAAAACTCATGCATGTGGACTCTGACTGGTCTGCGTTAGGGGAGTGGACAGAGCGAGAAGCGATCTTGTGTCAGCCGGTCTCTGGTAGACGCCCCCTCTGCAATATCCACTTGTGGTGGTCGGGGGCGGGGAAGGGGCGGGATTGAGCCCCCTCCCCCCTCCTCCTTACTGCGGAAAGCTGCAGAGCGAGCTGCACTCACTTCCTATTCAGCATTCAGCAGGGAGGGAACCTCTGAACAGCCACGTAGGCATTCTCTTCTCTCTGGAGGAAAAGGCCCAGCAGCTGTCCGCGGAAAAGACCCACCAGCTGTCAGCAAAGGGACATGTCGCAGCTAAGTAAGAATCTGGGTGACTCGAGTCCTCCAGCGGAGGCCCCGAAGCCGCCTGTCTATAGCCGCCCTACGGTTCTGATGCGGGCCCCGCCCGCTTCCTCCCGGGCTCCTCCAGTCCCCTGGGATCCACCTCCAATTGACTTGCAGGCTTCATTGGCCGCTTGGCAGGCACCCCAGCCTGCCTGGGAGGCCCCGCAGGGCCAGCTGCCCGCCCCAGTGGCTCCGATCGCCCAGCCTCCAGCCCTAGGGGGCCCGATAGTCCAGGCTCCCCCTCTGGGGGGCCCGATGGGCAAGCCTCCGACTCCTGGAGTGCTAGTGGTCCATCCCCCGCCTCCGGGAGCCGCGATAGCCCAGCCTCCGACTCCGGGAGTCCTGATGTTGCATCCTTCAGCTGCCGGAGCCCCTCTGGCCCACCCTCCCCCTCCGGGTACCCCAATGGCCCATCCTCCCCCTCCGGGCACCCCAATGGCTCACCCTCCCCCTCCGGGGACCCCAATGGCCCACCCTCCCCCTCCTGGGACCCCGATGGTGCATCCACCCCCTCCGGGGACACCGATGGCGCATCCTCCCCCTCCGGGGACACCGATGGCCCAGCCTCCAGCTCCGGGAGTCCTGGTGGCCCAGCCTCTAACTCCAGGAGTCCTGATGGTCCAGCCACCTGCCCCGGGACCCACGATGGCCCAGCCTCTGCCTCCAGCCGCCGTGATGGCCCAGCCTCCACCTTCAGCAGCCCCGATGGCCAAGCCTCCAGGTCCAGGTGTCCTGATGATTCCTCCTCCAGGTCCGAGAGCACCACTCACCCCACCTGCAGCTCCAGGAACACCGGTCTTGCAGCCAGCTGCCCCACCTGCGCAGCCTATGGCTTCTTGGTCCCCGCAGGGTCAACCTCTGATCCTGCAAATCCAGTCTCAGGTCATAAGGGCTCCTCCGCAGGTTCCCCAGGGCCCACAGGCACCCCCTGCGCAGCTGGCAACACCCCCAGGCTGGCAGGCCACCTCTCCAGGGTGGCAGGCCACGCCACAAGGCTGGCAGCCACCACCTCTGACCTGGCAGGGCACGCAGGTCACTTGGCAGGCACCGGCAATTGCCTGGCAGGCTCCACCGCCGGTGCGCCAGGGCCCCCCACCCATCTGCCCTGGCCCACCACCTATCCGGCCTGGCCCACCACCTATGCGCCAGGCCCCGCCATTGATCCGCCAGGCTCCACCTATCATCCGCCAGGCCCCGCCGCTGATCCGCCAGGCACCACCACTGATCCGTCATGCACCACCGCCTATCCGACCTGGCCCACAGGTCATGGCCACCCAGCCACCTCTCTGGCATACCCTACCACCCCCACCTCCTTTGCGGCAGGCCCCGCAGGCTCGGCTGCTGGCCCCTCAGGTGCACGCGGCGCCGCAGGTGCCTACGTGCCCTCCTGCTACGCAGGTACCCGCGGCGCCGCTCCCAGGCCCGCAGGTGCCCCAGCCAGTACTGCCGGCCCCGCTGTCTGTCCCAGTGTCTGCCCCTCAGGGTGTGCCCTGCCCCTCCATCATTTGGCAGGCCCCCAAAGGCCAACCCCCAATCCCACATGAGCTGCCAACGTCAATGGAGTTCCAGGAGGTGCAGCCGACCCAGGCAGTGGCCTGGCAGGCCCCAAAGGCCCCTGCTCACTTCTGGCAGCCTATTCCTGCCCAGGAGGTCCAGAGGCAGGCGCCCACGGTTGTTCAGCTGGAGCAGCCCTTTCAGGGAGCCCCACCCTCCCAGAAAGTCCTGCAAGTCCAGCTACCCGCCCAGCAGGCCCAGCCCTCGGGTCCGGAAGCAGAGCTTCCCGTACTGCAGCACCAACCCTCCTGGGAAGGCCCGCCAGCAGTCTTACAGGCCCAAGCTGGAGCCCCCGTAGCCTCGACAAATTTTCCCCGGGGCTCCAGTAAATCACTGATGACTCCGTCAGGAGAATCCAGGGCCTCCTCTGTAGAACACAGGGGGTCTTCCTCTAAAGAACGTAAGACCTCTTCCAAGGACCGCAGGGGCCCTCCAAAGGACCGGGTGATCTTGGCTGCCACCTTCTGTGCTCCCAGGGCAATGCCAGCTACTCGAGCACACCTGCCAAACACCTGGAGGAATGTGCCTGGAACCTCTGAGACCTTCACTGCCACCTCAAGGGCCTTCCCAGCTACCTCTCCCTTTCAGCCTGCCTCTTCTTATGCCTTTCCAGGCCCATCTCTCACCCCAGAGGCCCCAAGGTCACTGCCATTTCCCCTGCAGGATCCCTTTGCCTGTGCAGAGGGTCTGCCTGCAGGCGCATGGGCTCCACAGCCCCATGTGAATGCCTCACAGGCATCCAAGGCAGTGCCCACCATCCTGATGGCTACAGCAGCTGCCCCTGAGGCAACTGCCACCTCTCCAGAGGCCTCAAAGACTGTTGAGCCGCCACGTCGCTCAGGCAAAGCCACCCGGAAGAAGAAGCATCTGGAAGCTGCAGAGGACAGCCGTGGCCATACATTGGCCTTTCGTGACTGGCAGGGTCACAGGCCCTGGGAGAATGTGAATCTGAGTGCCTGGGAGGTCCAGAGCCCCATCCGTGCCTTGGGTGAATGGGAGCACCCAGGCATTTCCCACGGCCTGAATGGCTGGGAGGGCCCCAGTACCTCCAGGGTCCTGAGTGGCTGGGAGGGGCCCAGCACATCTTGGGCTCTGAGTGCCTGGGAGGGGCCCAGCACCTCCAGGGCCCTGGTTGCCTCTGAAGGCCCAGGTAGCCCTCATTCCTTGATCATGTCTGAGGTCCCCTGTCTCTCTCAAGGTTCCAGCCAGGATAACCCCAAGGTGGAGACACAGCATTTGTCTCCCCTGGATGAGAGAGCAGATGCACTGGTGCAGTTCCTCTTGGTCAAGGACCAAGCTAAGGTGCCAATCCAGCGCTCAGAGATGGTGAAAGTCATCATCCGAGAATACAAAGATGAGTGCTTGGACATTATCAACCGTGCCAACAATAAGCTCGAGTGTGCCTTCGGGTGTCAGCTGAAGGAAATTGATACCATAAACCACTCCTATGTTATCGTCAACAAGCTGGGGCACCCTAAAGGTAATTTGGTGTCTTCCTGTTTACACAAACCCAAACTAGGGCTCCTGGTGGTGGTCTTGAGTCTTATTTTTATGAAGGGCAATTGTGTCAGAGAAGATCTCATCTTTAGTTTTCTGTACAGGTTAGGGGTGGATGTCCGGGAGGTGAATGGTCTCTTTGGAAACACGAAGAAGCTCATCACTGAAGTGTTTGTGAGGCAGAAGTACCTTGAGTACAGACGAATCCCCCACACTGACCCAGCCGAGTACGAGCTCCTCTGGGGCCCCCGAGCATTCCTCGAAACCAGCAAGATGCTTGTCCTGAGGCTCCTCGCCAAGTTCCACAAGAAAACTCCACAGTGCTGGCCTCTCCATTACCTTGAAGCCCTGGCGGAGTGTGAATCTGAAGACGACGACGGTGATGGTGATGATGATTCTGACTCCGGTGACAATCCTGGCAACCCCACCAGCAGTCCCCCTCCCAGCTAAAAACTGCAGCAGACATCCCACTCATTTGGTTTCCCTGGCCAGAGGCCACTGACAGTGTTGGGGGGGCATTTTGTTTCTAGTATTTCTGTTCCAGTACCATGTGTGTAAGTTTGGATTTCCCATTTGGTTCCATATCTGCCAAAGCTTTGTACATTTTCATGTGGTGTTGATTTCAATCGACTACTGTTCTCTTTGGTATTTTGGCATTTGTATTTTTTAAGTGAGGTCTGTGGTTCCCTGTTTTGTGTTATAATTGTTATGTTTTGGTATCAGAGTTGTGCTGGCTTTGTGAACTGAATTGAGAAGCTATCCATCTCATTCTGGTACTGATTTTGTAGCATTGTAATCAGTTGTTCTTTGAACTGTTAAAATGACTCATCAGTAAAAACTGTCTACAGAAAAGTAAATATCTATATCTATATCTATAAAAATATACTTTCAGCATAACATGGAAGTGTTTGTCTTTATTCTAATTTTTACTCTAGGTGGTGAAGCCAAGTTTTGCCACACTCTGTAAATAGACACCAACAACAAGACAACTCTCAGTGATAGTAAACACCAGAGGGACAACACCGTTTTCCTAGGAGAGTGTGCCATTCATCTATACAATGACTCAGGGATTTTGGCGGGTGGTGAAACATGAACTTCCATTGATTTCCAAAGGAAAACTTCACAAGTCAGTGGGGCCCAGTCAAGAAGGGGTCTTATGCCTCCTCTGATTTAATCTTCACAGTAATCTTTCAAAGTAGGCATTATGATTATTCCCAAAGAGTGGGTGAAGATGTAAGGTTCTAGGAGATTAATTCAATTACAGGCATTAGTGCCAAGCCCCAACGTTGTAATTTACAGCAGAAAATTTCCTTTGAAGGTATGCGGGGCAGGAGTGCAGATAACCAGGCTTGTTAGCTATGTGGAGAGAGGGGCCAAAGGGCAATTGTCAGTCGTGTGCCTCATGACCAGTGGGGAAGGGGGGATGGACAGGGAGGAGAAGGAATTTGCCCACACTTTAGATGTGCGTTTCATTAATACGCTGGTAGTGGGATGGGAACATGTTTCCTTCAAGCTATCCAGGCTTATAGCAGGGAAAAGGAAAAAACAGCCTTCATCGAACTAAGAACCCTGCAGATTGCAAGCAGCTGGGTTAGGGCAGGCGGTGGGAGGTGGACTCCTGGCAACATGGAGATCTGGGAGGGTGAGGAAGGAGGGTCAGTCCTAACACACAGGGGAAGTTGGCTGGCGCTGGATGACGCTGCTAGATAGCAGCGGTCCGCCTTTGGGTGTAGGCGTGGGAAGGAGGGGACGAAGGGGCGAACTGGCCTGAGTGGGGAAAAGGCAGCAGGCCGGTGTGCACACAAAGCCTTTCCTAAGGTTATACTTTTCTGTGGACTGGGGGTATCAGCCCCGCTTGTCACCCCTGCTGTTCTACCGGAATCCAGAAACTCAGCCGCAGGTCCCGCTTCCCGGGGTAAAGCCCAAGTCCCAGGTGAGGTGATCCGCTGCGGTGGAGTTCTCCTGCCACCTAGTGGCCAGTCCGCGCGGCCATCCTGCGGCGGCGGCGGCGACCCTGGTGCGGGGCTTAACCTCACACCCTGGGATACGCAGGGTGTGGCTACTACCTGCTTCATAAATTTTGCCAATGACCTCATCTGCATTGCACCCAAACATTCCTTCCCCTTTTCTTATGATAGCCCTCCCTTTTCAAATCCGCTCCAAGCTTCCCCATTTCTGCCCAGGTCCTGCAGCATTGCGCCTTAGGAAGCTGACCAGGAGAGGAACTCTCAGGCCAAGTCTGCTCCCAGCACCCTCAGACTCAACCTTTCAAGGACGATTAGTCCCACCACAGGAGCTGACGGGCTCCAGGAGGGCTTCTGCAAGTAGCTCCAGTGGCCAGGTCCTCCAGAAACTCAGGGAGTTATCTGTGAGTTCTGTCCATCTGCCTATTATCAATCGTTACTTATTTTAACAACCCTGAAAATAACAAGTGTCCATTGGAGGAGCAATGCCCCAGCGGAGAACTACCCCCAAAGGAGGGTTAGCAGGGCCAGGAAAAAATGGCACATGGACCTTGTATTTCTTTTTTGCTTTGTTTTGTTTTTTTGTTTGTTTGTTTGTTTATACAGTTTTCTACAAACCATTTACTCGCTGGTTTGAAGAAATGTCCAATTTGCTTGAGCAAGAAACTAAATGTCCAATGGCTTGAGCAAGAAACTCATGGTGGAGCACCCAGAAGACTTCTCTCCCACCACCCACGGTAGCCTGTACCCCTTCCATCTCTAACTTTCAGCAGTCACTACTCTGTTCTTCAATTCTGTAACCTTGTCATCTCAGGAATGTAATGTAAATGGACTAATACCTTTGAGGCTAGCATCTTGTCACTCAGCATAATGCCCTTTACATGCACCCACATTGCTGCCTGCATCAATAGCACCTTGCTTTTGAATGCTAATAACATGTTTATTTGTGAAAGGTATTTCAGTTATTTCTAGGTTTGAGGAACTATAAAGTTGTTATGAACGTTGTGAACAGATTTTTCTACAGACATTCATTTTCATTTATCTGTGGTAAGTGTCCATTGAGTGTATTGCCATATGGTGTCAGACTATTCTCCAAAGGGGCTGTGACATTTCACATTTCCACTGGCAATGTGTGAGAGAATCAGTTTATTTACATCCTCACCCACGATTCATATAGTCATTGTTTTTTTTTGTAATTTGGCTGTCCTAATAGATGTGTGTAATCTCTTATTGTACTCTTAATTTGCATTCCCCTGAAGGCTGGAGGTGTTGAAAATCTTTCCATTTGCTTGTTGATATAGTCTCATTGGTGAAACATCTAGTAGCTTCTGTGTCCATTTTCTAAATTACTTATTTAATTTGTTGGACTTTGAGAGTTCTTTGTATGTTCCCAATATGAGTCCTTTATTAGGCATGCAGTATTGGAAATATTTGGAAGTATTTTCTCCTAGTCTTCACTGTGGCTTTTCCTTATATAACATTGCCTTTACACAGCAAAACTTCAAATTCTGATGATCTCTGGTTCAGTGATTTTTTTCTTTTATGAATTATGCTTTTGGTGTCATGTCTGAGTTCTCTCCATCGGTACTCTCCATCACCCTAAATTCAAAGAGTTTATTTATGTTTTCTTCCAAAACTTCAATGGTTTTATATTTAAATACATTTAACTTTGAATTATTTATGAAGTTTGGACTGAAGTTCTTCATTTGTTTGTTTGTTGCCCTATGGATGTCCAATTGCTTCAGTAACACTTGCTAAAAATAAGATCTTTTCAATGTCGAATATTTGCTTTCATACCTTTGTAAAAAATCGGTTGACCCTATTTGTATGGTTTATTCCTGGGTTCTCTCTTCTATCTCATTGAAACATATAGATAGATAGATAGATAGATAGATACAGAGGTAAGCAATATATACATATAAGGGCTATATATTGACATATCCCTCCACCAACATCACACTGTAACTGTACAATGTCTTGAAAGCAAGTACAGTGATTCTTCTCATATTCTTCTCTCTTCAAAATTGTTTTTGATGGAATTTTGATGGAAATTGGATTAAACTTGTATATCAAGTTGGAAAGAACTGACATTTTTACTATGTCAAGTCTTCCATTCCATAAACGCAATATATCACTAATTATTTGGATCTTCTTTCATTTCTTTTGTCAACATTTTGCATTTTTCAGGACACAAGTCCTATGCATGTTTGTTTGATTTACAACTAGTTTATTCTTTTTGAGTTCTTGTAAACTACATTTTAAATTTTAGGCTTCCACTTGTTCAATGCCAGTATAGATGAATTCTGTTGCGTTTTGTGTATGATCTTGTAGCTTGCAAACTTGCTACTCATGTATCAGTTCTAGGAATTTTCATATTTATTCTTTTGGAATTTTCTATGTAGACCATGTGTCATCTGAACATAGGGACAGTTTTTATTTCTTCTTTTCCTATCTGTATCTTGCATTTTCTTTTATTGCCTTATTGTTCTAGACTTCCAATAATATATTGAAGAGAAGCAGTGAGGGCAGGTATTAATGCCCCCTTCCTGATGTCAGAGGGAAACGTTCAGCCTTTCCTTTCCTTTTTTTTTTTTTTTTTTTTTTTTGAGGCAGTCTCTCACTTTGTTGTCCTCTGTACAGTGTTATGGCGTCTGTCACAGCTCACAACAATCTCAAATTCTTTGGCTCAAGAGGATGAAGGAGAAAAATGGAGTAGGAAGGGAGGAGAGGGGGCAGGTTTGACAGAGGGAGGGTAAAAGGTGGGACCACACCTATGGAGCATATGACAAGGGTACAAGTCAAATCTGTGAAGTGTAGAACATAGATGTTTTGGCATAATAATCAAGTTAAGGAGGTGAAAGCTGTGTTGATTGGTTTGATGTAACCATGTCAGATTGTATAAAAAAAAAATCAGCACATTGTACCCTACATATGCATGAATGTATTCATGATCTACATGTATTTGACTTAATAAAAAAAAAAAAAAGAGTTCCTCTTGCTTTAGCCTCTCTAGTAGCTGAGACTGCAAGTACCTACCACAACCTGAATATTTTTAGAGATGAGATCTCTCTCTAGTTCAGGCTGGTCTTGAACTCCTGAGCTGCAGGAACCTACCACAACCTGGATATTTTTAGAGATGGGATCTCTCTCTAGTTCAGGCTAGTCTTGAACTCCTGAGCTCAGGCAATACACCCACCTCTGCTTCTTAAGTGCGAGCCACCTCACCTGCCTACTTTAAGTATAATATTTGTTGTAGCTTTTGTGTAGACACATTTATCAAGTTGAAGAAGTTTCCTCTTATTCCTGTGTTTCTAAGAGTTCTTGTCCTTGTGTTACATTTTGTTATATGTTTTTCTGCATTGAAGGCTGTTTTCATGTGACTTTTTTCTCTCTTTAGCCTTTTAAGATGGTGGATTACTTTATTTTTGAATACAGAATCAGCCCTACATTTCTATAACAAACCATAATTGATCATTGTATGTGTTTCGTTAGGACTTTTGCATCCATATTCATGAGGTTTACTGGCATTCAGTTTCACACTTTTTTGTACTGTCTTTGTTTGATTTTGGTGTACAGCACTGCTAACTTCATAAAATAAATTATTCACTCATCTTCTATTT